AAAAAAAAAAAAAGTGATGACTGAAGCACAGGCACTTTTTGCTGCATAAAGCACAGCACAACAAAGCTCCACAAGCCATGACTGCTCAAAACCTATTTCTGCTAACTTTTTTTTGCTCAAAAGCTTTGTAGAAACTAGGAATAGTAACATGGGGAAATAAAGAAGGTGATGTATTCATCAGAACACAGTATTCATTCATATATTCTTTGAGAAGCTTACTAATTTTCAGAATGACATTTCTAGTCTGGGAAGTCAGAGAAAGAGGAGGAAAATAAAGACTCTATGGCCAGATAAACACCAGACTGTTCTGGGTCTCTCATGTCCCAGGCCTAGCAACCAAGCTATTTTCAGTCTACCTTCTCCCTTCAGATACCTCTCAGCAAGAGGTCTTGTTTTTACCCAAGCATTTAACATAATTTTAGAATGTTTTTCAAAATAGAGTTGTTTTCTAACTCATCCTTTCATGTACCTGTTCCTTAGCTAGCATGAGCTAAAAGTAGTTTTATCTTGGTTAGCTTAACCTTTAAGCAAATGGGATGCATTTGGGGAATAAACAAAAGATTCCTTACAATTTCTCCTGACATATCCCACCCTACCTTTCCTTCCAAAGTACATATATGAAACCAGGAAATCTCAAGAAATAACAGGTTCACATTTTCTTAAAGATCCCAGGTCCCAGCAAAGCAATTCAGACACTACATATTTGCTTGAGACAGTTCAATTCTCTGCTACAGACAAACTGAGATCCTCAGATACAAGTCACAAAAGCAGAGGGAAGCAGCTGTACATCTTCTACCTGCAGCTGATCCATGCGATCCAGGGCTGTTTTCAGTCTGGTTTCCAGGTGTTCCTTTTCAGAGGTCACCTTCTGAATTTGCTCTTTCAGTCTACTCAAAAAAAATCAAAATGCACTATATTTTCAACAACCCGCATTCCCAGTATCACACTTTGGTAGGCAAAACCAGCAATCTCTGTTTTCAGACCAAATAAAAAGTTCAGGTTGTTCACACCCAGACTGAAATGCAGTAGCCTTTGGTTGCATGAGTGCTGGGGGGTTTCCAAAGTCTCGTTTGCTTGTGCAAAGCTACCTGAGCTCTTGGGAATCATGGAAGAATTCCAGAGTCTGGGGTTGCCTACTCAAGCTTACAGAGCAACCCAAGCAACTACAACTCCTGGATTCATTCCAAGAGTCAGTTTTGCTCACTCCTTGCCACACTGACATTTTTCTGAGGTTCAGTTCATCTGAATGAGAGTTCAGAATGAGAGCCCTAGAGAGTTGCTCACACATTTTTCAGGAGCCTGGCACTAGGAACACCTGTGGACACATAACCCCTGGCTTTCACGAACTTTAAGGTGCTCACATGAAATCCTGTTTTGAGACAGGCTGTGAATACACTTACTGGTGGAGTTCTGCCTCTTCACATTTAGTCAGCTCCTTTAGATGTTTGTTTTCTTCTTTTAGGGAATTCAGCTCCTGCTCCACTTTCTCTGTGTTGCTCTTTAGAGACTCAAAACTATTCTGCAGCTCCTGAAAACCAAAATGAGATCAATAGGACTTAAATGGGACCCAAGCAACAGTCCTGCTCTGGAACTGGAAAACCCCTCTAATATAACACTTCCAGGCAGCCCATTCAAAGGCAGAAAATCCTTCTTTGCATCTTAATCATTCCTTCAGAGCCTGTTTTACTTATATTAACCCCTGAGCCAAACCAGAAGAGGAGAAAATGATAGAAGAACATCAGAAGAAGGGCTGGTCTTGTGATTTAGGGACAGATCTACAAAGATTTTTGAATACTGTCCTTCCCATGTGATTCCTGTGTCTGCTTATGTCTCTTGTGCATCACTATCATTCTTATCTCTGGAGAAGTATTGTAGGATTCTGTAAAGGATTAGCAGATAATCTGGGCAAAAATCCCTTTAATTTTCTCCTGGAAGAATCCAATAAATGGAGCAAGGTCTGATTCAGTCTCTTTTTGTCTTTCAGACTTAAAGCCTCGGACTTTCTACATTAAAATTCCTTCTTGTACCTGTGTCTTCCTCAGTTGCTCCTGCAAATCCATATTCTGTTTCTGGAGACTTGCACAGCTCTCCTTCAGCTCCTCGTTTTCTTTAAGCAAATTTTTGTTTTGTAGCTCAATCTCTTCCACTTCTCCCTGGCAAACAACAGAGTTGCTCAGTCATAACAGAACCGTTGAGAAGCTATGCTCCCAATAGCCCAAGGTATTTTTGCAGTTTGTAAGATTATACCCTTGGAATAAGTGTCTGTTTGGTTATTAACAAAGGACAAGAATGCCTACAAGGGCATAGAATGATAGTACTTGTCTTTATATCACTTCAGCCCATATGCATGCTACCCACCTAACTGAAAGCTGCTTCCATGAAAATTATATTTTCATTTGAAGATATTCAGATGCCCTGAAACACTATGCATTAAGGCACTCCCCATCGCAAAGTGCTCTAGGTACAGTCTAAGTACACTGGTCTGACAAACAGCAGGTAGAGAAGCAGAAGGTGCTGAATTTGTGCAACAGATCAGTTGCAAAGCCAAGAACAGAACCCAGGTCTGCTGTGTTCCAGCTCCGTGTGTTATTTACTGGATCACTCCACGTTAGCAATGAACACACACCAGTAAAAGACAAAACCAGGAAAAAACAGAGGAAGAAAGGAATCATACCTGGGTGGTAACCACCAGGATATCATCCTCAGTCTCCGCTCTGAACTGGAAAGGTACGCTGGCTCCTCGGACCACTCCATCCTGGTCAACGTAGCAGAACTGATAGTATTCGTCATCTTTTGGCAGGTAGTAAGCTTCAAACAAACAACAACCCCATCAAATGGGTCTTCTAATTTTTCAGGCTACTCAACTATATAACATGAAAAGTCTGAATCTAAGGAAAGCTGAGACATCCTGGTTCAATATACTTCCTGTACCATGACTAATTCTTTGCACCAGCAATAAGCACACAAACAATATCATTCTATCAAGACAGCAGAACTTAACAGATGGGAAATTTTGTGGCTATTATTATGGAACCGACTTATCGCCCCGGTACTTTGCAGTAGTTTATGTAAGCGCAGTGCTGCAGATGTTCTGCATGCAGGGCTCGTTAAGGGCACACGGCAGGATCCAGGCAGGGATTCTGTGTGCACGGCTGTCATGCACGAGCAAATGTTTCCTGGGCTGCCCTGTTTCCCCACTGACCTTTGAACTGGATCTGCTGCTGCACAACCATATGGTCACTGACACCACTGGGCAGAGGAGCCCACATGAACGTGTAATATTCCCGTGTCGTTTTCCATCCCACCTGCAAAAACAGACTTGTTACACAGCGTCACAAAATTCAGCATTTATGCTATGGCACTTTCAGGGGATAACTTGGAGTGTATTTCCACATGGTTAACGGGAGGACTTTGGCATGGCTCTCAGAGTGGTGGCCTATGCATAGAAGCACAAGTAAAGCTATTAGCCAGTTAATGAGTTCCATGAGTTCATGTGGGTAAGGGGAGCACTGAAATAGGAAATATTTTAGAAAAGATGGTGCCAGAATTGTCTTCAGCATAGCTAGCTATTCTCCACTGATTTTAGGAATCAGAGTCTGTTTGATCAGCCTTGAAGCTGTTCTAATTGCAAAGTGAAGCTGGGATAGCCTTTTATGCAGCATGAAAATAAGGAGCTCTGTTTTCCCCAAGGTAACAACACGTCTCATACTTTGTCCCTAGATGCAATAAGGATATTCCATTACACAAGCTTATTACCGAAAAAAAATCCCTCATCCTGTTTTACCACAGTCTTAATCCCTTCTTAGGGATCAAGTTTGAAGTAAGTAGATGCCAAGCTACTTGTTTTTGCTGGTTGCTACCTCCTCCCACTTGGTACGTTAAGTTTCACAGAATTGACTTACCCGGAAGATGCCCACCCAGTCCTTCCCACGAGGAGCAATGTTGTTTGTGAGTGTGTAGTAACAGGTTACGTCTCCTCCGGGAACATAGAACTTCTCCACATTGTTGAAGATGACCTGGGAGAAGTGGCAGTTGTCTAAGAGGACAGCAGAAGTGGGAGGTTCGTCAGAGGTCTCATCCATCATGGAGTTCTGCAAGAGGAAAGAGTAAGACAGTATCTAATCTTCACAGGTGGTCAACACAGCTGTATCTGCAAAGGGTCTGAGGATGGAAAGCTGCTGGATGACGTAGCTGTGATGTCTGGAAGTCCCTGCATGCACGCGCAGCTTCTCAGCGCAGCACAGACGCAACGTTGCCAATTGCCCATTGCGACACACTCCAGACACACTCACTCTGATAACAAGCAAACTCAACAGCCTTCTGGTTTCCTTCATTCAAATAACCTCCAAATACAGCATCCTTCATCCTCAGCTTTCTGGCTCCAACGTGAGAGAGGTACCTTGCTAAGCTCAGCTCCCATGGAAGAGCACAGAGAAGACCTCGGTTACGGCAGTTGTCCTAGTTCTGTCTCACAAGCCCAAGTCAAGAGGCTGGTTATAGCCCTGCCCCTCGTGATCACTACAGTGCAAGGCGATTCTCCGTACTGAAATGACCATGTTGCATGGCAGCAGGGTCAACAAATAGCATTAAAGGGTGTGCATGAGTTATCTCTACTGAAAACTTCTCAGCGTGTTGTGATACTGTGACTGCACTCATCTACTGAGAAAACAGTATGCAAATTCCCTAGAGAAGAGTGGAAACAGTAAACTAAATTACACGCTTTGCAAGCGTCCGGCTTCGATGCTGGCAATGCATCAGGAGACTGAGAAAATCCTGTCACCAATCCTGCCCAATGTGGTTCCAAGAATCTAAAGCAGAACCTCAGCTGCTGTCAGTGACAGTAACGGAGAGCGAGTCTTGACCTCAGGAAGGAGGGAAAAGTTCATCTGAAGCAGCCATCCCTCGGGCTTTTAAGGTCATCTCAAATCCAGGAGTTTCACATGGAAATGAACAGCCTGGACCCTTGATTTTGCTCTTGGGGCATTGCCTGTTGCCCAGGGAGGCTGGGGAATTGCTTCTCCTGGGAGCAGAAGGCAGGTCAAACCACGAAAGGGTCTTGGTCCCCCAGGAAATCCAGGTGCACGACTTCAATTTTAGGTATCTACTAAAGCATAGGAAATCGTGGCTGATTAAGCTAAACCTCAATCCTCATCTGGCTGATGTCAATCTTTCCTACCCTGGTGCACCTTACGATTTGCAGTTTCCAAGCACACAGGGAAGCCTTCAGGCAGCAAGCAGGAAAAGACAAAATCCAAGGAGAGCACCTTAATCGTGGTAGTGCTTGAGTACGGGAATATGAGTTCCAGCTGCCACACGGCTTAAAAGAAACTTGAGAAGAAAGTGAAACATCTATGCCTGGATTTGACAAGATAATTCATAACACGTCGTGCTGCAAATAAAAAAGGAAGACGTTTTGGTAAGAAATAACTGCAGTTGTGAAGAAAAGCAAACCTGCTGCCCACGTAGAGCACTCCGATGGTTGTGTCAGTTCTCCTGGGGCGGGAGGGGTGGGCAGGAAGCAGAAGGAAATGACATTTATTTTAATAATTTTAACAGTTATTATTTCAATAGTGTTCATGTTTGGTCGCGGCTGATGCGAGCCGCCCTCGGCGGAGGCTGAGGCGGAGCGGGCGGCCCCGGGGCAGCGCGGAGGCACCGGGATGTTGTTACCGGGCGTCATAACCATCCCGCGGGCTCCTCCCGGAGCGCGGGAGGGGTGGGTTTTTTTCTCTCTTTGCCATTTTTCCTTTCGTTTTCATGGTGCGTCTTTTTTCCCTTTCGGTTTCTGCTCCAGAACTGCAGAAAACTACCCCAAAATGTAGAAAAATGCGGGTTTCCCCTTCCCCGGCGACACCGCAGCGCAGCCGCAACCCGCGGGCAGGGGGAAGCGCCGCGAACACCGCGGCGGGGGCATCA